GCACTCCTACTGTGATATTGAAATAATACCATTTTCCATTAAGGGCTCCTTGATGAAATGGATGCTTCTAGGTCTAGAGCAGAAATGTACATCTTGTTATACTAGATATCGAGGAAGCTACCCAAGGCAACTAGTGTTATAGTAAAAGGACTCAGGAGGTAGTGCTTCAGATTTTCATTTTCATTAAAAAACATAATAATTGCAGTGGATGAAAACATATTAAATATGTTTAAAACCCTCACTTCATGGTCACTGTTGCAGGATGCTTATGAATAAATAATCATTTAAAAAACTAACAAATGGAAAGAATTTAGCATTTATTCTGTCTTTCCTATGAAAACTCTTAAAAAGTAACAAAAAATTGATTGAAAGAAATTACACCTTTAGAAAAATATACACCCCACACCATCCCCTCCAGCTATCAGTGAAAAAACCCTTCATGGATCAATGGATCTAGGCATTGATTATTAATGGCTGCTAATACCACAAAAAGTAAGAAAATTGGACATCATGTGCCTCAAGAGAGAACACACAATCACCTATGAAATGGTCTTTCCGAAAACGGTAAGAAGATCTGAATTGGATTAGGCCTCTGATTTTAACATTTTAAAAATAAAAGTTCCAATTTTATAAAAAATGAAGAGGTAGAGTAGCACATTAAACAACATATGGCGATATAATAAAAAAGTCCAGGCTGTAGAAAACTCTACAGGACAAACAACACTTTTGCATCAACAAATGAAAAAGGAAGAGGCGGGGCCGAGTGATACTTATCAACCAATTGCAATGCATGAAACTTTTTGGGATCCCAATTCCAACAAATTGTAAAGTACATTATATTTATTTATGAGTCATTTAGAAATTTGAGCACTAACAGAAGATTTGTTATGAATTGTAGTTAATTACTTTTAGAAATGCTAATTGTATTATATTCATGCTTTAAAAAAAAGAAGTCTTTATCTTTAAGAGATAATACCAAAATATCTATGGAGGAAACAATAAAATGTCTGAGATTTGCTATGAATCATTATGGGAAGTGAGGGGAGTGGGTGGGGGTATAGATGAAACAAGGTGGACCATGAGTTGATAATTGATGGCAGTGGGTGATGGGTGTATGGTGGTTCATTATACTCTTTGGAGAACATAACACAACATTGAAAAAAATGGTAGAACTATGATTCCGTTACCGATGGACTGTTTTGATAATCTGACATAGGAGAGAGTCTTGGCTCAGTATATAAAAAAGCTGCAGACTTTCTGATCAGGGCTCAATTTATATAGTCAGTCAGGGCTGCATTGAGATTTGACATGGGGACTAAGCTAAGGAATTTGTGTGTGTGTGTGACAGGCAGGAAAATAAAATGATTTAGGATAGTGTTTCTGTGAGCTGCAATTCAAAAGAAAAAAGGAAACACAGGGGCTCTCATATTGCTATTTTCTTCCAAAAAGGATTTACATTTTCATCTTATTCAGAGACAATTTACTCAATGTCAATCAGTGTAAGCCGCCAAACCGAGCATCACGGTATTATTTTTGCTTCAGGGAAAAGAGAAAAAGTAGTGTCACTCAAATTACAGCAGAAACTTATGAATGACAAGGAGCTCTGCTTCAATCCCAGTTTTCAGACATCCAAATATACCCCAAGAAAGGTAACATTAAAAACCAAGAATTGTGTCTACTCAAAATGTATTAATTTATTTTGACATGTATAGACATTCTTAAATTTCAAAGTGTATTAGAAATGATATCTGAACTTTCTTTTTTCAGTAAAAGTGTGACAAGGAACTTTAGTATTCTCTGCATTTTAATAATGTTCAGAGATCTGTAGAATGAGAAGATTGTTTATTAGGTGAACTGGGATGTTTCTTGTTTAGAGCTATGGAAAATCACCAGTTACTGTACACATTTTCTAAAGTGATGTTTATACACACTTTAACTTCATCTGGCATATACATCTTTAAAAAGTACAGTTTTATAAAACAATAATAAATGATATATTTTAGAGCATTTTAGGTTCACAGGAAAATTGAGTAGAAAGTACAGACTTTACTTATACCCTTTGCCGCCACATACACAAAACCTCCCCCACTATTGATATCCCATACCATAATGGTACATCTGTTAAAATCTATAAACCTGTACTGACACACAAATATCACCCAAAGCCCACGGTTTAAATTAGGGTTCACTCTTGGTGTTGAACATTCTACATGTTTGGACAAATGTATAAGGATATATATCCACCATTGCAGTATCATATAGAATAATTTCACTGCCTGAAGAATCCTCTCTGCTCTGCCTATTCATCTGTCCCTCCCCACTAACCCCTGACAACCACTCATCGTTTTACTGTCCCCATAGTTTTGCCTTTTCCAGAATGTCATACGTTTGAAATCATACAGTATGTAGCCTTTTCAGATTGGCTTCTTTTACTTAGTAATATGCATTTAAATTTCTTTCATGTTTTTTCATGGCTTGGTAGCTCATTTCTTTTTAATGGCTGAATAACATTCCATTGTCTGGATGTACCACAGTTTATCCACTCACCTACTGAAGGACATCTTGATTGCTTACCAGTTTTGGCAATTATGAGTAAAACTTTTATAAAAATCCCTGTACAGGTTTTGTGTGAACATATTTCCAATTCATCTGGGTAAATACCAAAGAGTGTGATTGCTGGATTATATAGTAAGAGTTTGTTTAGTTCTGGAAGAAACTGACAAACTGTCTTCAAAAGTGGCTGTACCCTTCTGTATCCCCACCAGCAATGTGTAGGTGTTCCTGTTGCTCCATATCCCCATCAGCATTTGGTGGTGTCCCTGTTTTGGACTTGGTCATTCTAATAGGTGTATAGTGATATCTTGTTGTTTTGATTTGCAATTTCCTAATGACATATGATATGAACCATATTTTTATATACTTACTTGCTATCTATATATCTTCTTTGTTTTAGGCCTTCTGTCCATTTTTAAATTGGGTTCTTAATTTCTTGCTGAGTTTTAAGAGTTTTTTTGTATATTTTGGATAACAGTCTTTTAGTAGATGTGGTTTTGACAAATATTTTCTCCCAGTCTGTGGCTTGTCTTCTCACTCTCTTGATATTGTTTTTCTCAGAGCAGAAGTTTTTAGTTTTAATAAAGTCCAGCTCATCAATTATTTATTTCATGGATTGTGACTTTGGTATTGTATCAAAAAAGTCCTTTCCATCCCAAGGTCATCTAGGTCTTTGATTATGCTTTCTTCTGAGAGTGTTATAGCTTTGCATTTTATATTTAGGTCTGTGATCCATTCTGAGTTAATTTTTGTGAAGGGTATAAGGTCTGAGTTGTATGTAATATTTCTTTATTATCTTTTTAATGCCCATGGACTCTGTAGTGATGTTTCCTCTTACATTTATAATATTTGTATCTTTTTTCTTTTTATGTAGTGAGCCTGAATACAGGCTTATCAATTTCATTAGTATACTCAAAAGATCAGTTTTTGGGTTTATTGATTTTCTGGTTTCAATTTCATTAATTTAAGCTCTAACTTTTACTATTTCTGTTTTTCTCTGGTGACTTTGCATTTCATTTGCTCTTCTTTTTCTAGTTTCCTAAAGTTTAGATGACTGCTTTTAGAGATTCCTTTTCTAATATATGCATTTGATGCTAAAAACTTCCCTCTAAACACTGCTTTCTCGGCATATCACAAATCTTGATAAATTTTATTTTCTTTTTCACTTAGTTTAAAATATTGTAAATTTTTCTTATGAGATTTCTTTTCTGACCTATGTGCTATTTAGAATTGTGTTGTTTAATCTCCAAGTATTGTAGGATTTTCCAGCTATCTCTCTGTTATTGATTTCTAGTTTAATTCCACTGTGGTTTGAGAGCAGAAAGTATATGACTTCTATTCTTTTAAATTTGGTAAGGTGTGTTTTATGGCCCAGAGTGTGGTCTTGGAGAATGTTCCATGTGAGCTTGAGGAGAATGTGTAACCTGCTGTTGTTGGATAAAATAATCTAAAGATGTCAATTATATCTAATTGATTGATGGTGCGATTGAGTTCAACTTTGTCCTTACTGATTTTCTGCCTGCCGGATCTGTCCATTTCTCGTAGACGAGTGTTAAAGTCTCCGACTATAATAGTAGATTTATCTATTTCTCCTGCAGTTCTATCAGTTTTCCCTCACGCATTTTGTCACTCTGTGGTTAGGTGGAGACACGTTAGGGATTGCTACGTCTTAGAGGACTGACTTTCATCGTCATGTAATGTCCCTTTTATCGCTGCAAACTTGCCTCATCTGAAGTCCGTTCTGTCTGAAATTAATGCTTCTGAATCATGTTAGCATTTCTTCATCCTTTTACTTTTAATCTATATGTGTCTTTATATTTAAGCTTAATACAATGGCTCAAGGCTTGTTCCACAGGGGCTGGTTGGAGTGTAGGTTGTGGCTAAAACCTGGAACCGGCTAAGCTGGCACAGTTCCTGCTTTGGGCTCCAGAGATGGGCACACAAGGGGGAACTGGTAGAGCTGTGACTCTGGAATCCTGCTAAGACACCTCAGAAATCCACTGGGAGACGGACTAACAAGAATGTTACCTAAATAATGGGCCGGCATTCCTTAGCAAGTCACATGGCGGAGACCGAACTGATTAAATGTACCCACATGTGCCCCTTTACTGTGCCCATTCGCTGTGAAGTATCAGGAACTAGTCTTGACTAAGTCCCTGGGATTCTTGGAAAGAATTTAAGAGGGAGAAATTGGACTTCTGGTAATAAAGGCATGTGTGGCCTTGAGCAATGAATTACACATTGAACACTTCAATGACTCATATGGATTATACTTTTAAAAATGGCCAGCCATATGTCACCGCTGAGAACCTGTGGTAATCGTTTTAGTTGATTTACGCATTAAGAGAACATTAAGGAAAAATCAAAGAAGGAGGATCAAGGGGTAGAAACAGTTTGGAGCAAAGGAAACAGGAGGGAAGGGTGGTGTCACAGTCCCCTCTACTCACGGGGCTGATGTGCGTTCCAGTGTGTGTACCGCACCGGCTCAGACGTCTGCCCCACCGTCTTCCAAGTATATTCTCCGGTGTCATTCTGGTCTTGGAGAGCTATCCAAAAATAATTGTCCTTCATTTTTACCACACTACTGATCAAACTGGTAATAAAAGCCTGTTCAAACCTTAAAAAGGGGAAAAGGAAATGGTTACAGTAAGTTTCCAAGCAATAAAAAATGTCATTAAAACATAATAAGGTGCACAGAATGGCACCAGAATAAACATTTCTCATGAATTCTTTAGAACAGGGGGCAGAAAAATACCCAAGGACCCTGAACATTATTAATAAATGCAAAATGTCATTGCAATTTCCAGAAATCCGTGACTGAAGAGAATTTGACTCTTACAGACAAGGCTTAATTCTTTCAAGGAACAGAGTTTAGCTCCTGTTTCAAAGTGTAGGTGGTGAAGTCCACAAAGCCAGCAATAATACATTTTTTTGAACACCACAGTCCCAATTTTGCAATCAGGCCACACAGCACACGCCATCCCATAATGTGCATGCGTCGACGTGTCGGTAGAGGGGGGAAGGAAGGATATTATGATCTGCTGAATGAGTGAGTGTCTGCCAGTGGGGGTCACATGGACCACCCTCCATACTTGCCTGGTGAGAACCAAACTGAGATTGGAGGTTCTCACATCAGTGTGTTCACAGGCACATGAAGTGTCTGACTTATTCAAATTTGTTCAGATGTGCAAATTCCCCGATGATAAATTTAAAACCCTAGGAACAAATCCAAGGAAGTACAGCCAGTAATATTTTCTCCCAACAGCTGGATGAGTTTGTGTTCACTGATTGGGGGAAATGCTCCCTTTCCAACACAAACGCATCAGAAGCAGAACATAGAAAACGTGTATGTTTGCTTTCACATGACTACCTATGAGAAAAATGTATTAAAATTTAACTAGCAGTGAAATTTTAGCTAAGCTGGAAACGACCTTGTAAAATTTATTTTCAGTACATATAAAATTTCGAAGAAACCTTTCATACGGTGGTGATTTGGAGCCAGACTTGCGGAGTCAGTGGGAAAAGGAAGGCACCAATGAAATGATCCAGGAAACCTCACAAGAAAGCAAACGAGACTTTTTCTTCCAGTTTGGGATTTTTTCACTACCACACATCCTTAACTTGCAAAGGGAAGCAAAAGCAATGGGGTCATTCAAGATAAGGGGAGTCTCAAAGGAAACAGGGGAGAGAAAGAGAAACGAACACAAAGTAAAATTTTAAACCGCCTTATGATTGTCACTAGCAACAGTCAGAGGTCTCAGGTGTCCGTGACCCTCACTTTGGCAGAGCGTATAGACTGTTATCATGCTTTATTGAGTATCTTCTGCAGGTACCTGTTAATATCTGACTAGCACACTTTTAAAATGTGAAAAGTTCTTTTTTAACCAGATTGCAGCAGCAGAACCTTATGTAAAGGTGCTTCAAAAGGAGAGTAGATAAAGCTAAATATAGTCTAGGTGCTGTTGTCATTTTCCGTATACTGCCATGGTTTCTTGCTCTCACAACCTTCTCCCCTCCGAGGCAGAGTTGTATCGTTAACATGCCCAGTGCCTGAAACTGCTGTGCTAAGAGGCCAGCAAAGCACCGCACCAGGGAGGCTATGCCAGGACCACCACCACCGTGCTGCTTCTAGAAACCCAAGGGCACTGCTGCTTCTTCCATTACCTTGTACTATGGCATAGATCAGATAATGGAGAGAAATAACGTTGTCTGTGAACTTGGACTCTAGTATCATTATTCAAGACAACATTTTGCTTTTGTCCCTTGTTGGTTTTAGATTTATTTAGTCCACTCTGATTTGCTCTTTTATCTCCATTTCTCATTGCTTAAAACAACAGAAACCTTCCGCTTTTTAATTGGCAAGTATCTATTTTTAAGCAGTTGCATATAATACTCACACATTAAATTCTAAAACCTTCAAATCAAAACAGGACTCTAGTTTTCTCAGTCCAGTTTAGAAGGTGGCATTGTTAATAAAGAGATTCAGCACATATATCTTTTTTTGAAACCATATATTCTAAGAAATGAACTCTGGATACCAGCATGCAGTCTCTTGAGGGTCTGTTTTCCAACTGATCAAGAAACAAGGGAAGATTATATCTTCTTTATCACTCTATTTGGTTTCTAATACTAAAAGGGTCAAAAGCCTTTGGCTTTACAGTCATAGAGCAGGTGACTGTCAAAGGCTTTTCTGGCCTTGTGTTGGGGAATTCTTCGTTTGCGAATGCTCACCACTTTCTCGTATCTGGCCTTTCTGCTCGTTTTCACTGAGGTTGTTTAATTCAAAGGTTATGATTTAAGGAACAAAGAATAATCATATATACATGGTTTTGTATTATTATTTGAATTAGAATAAAGTTAATCTGTAAGGAATTCAGTAAACATTTTTTTATTATTCTTAAAAAAAAAAAACCCCAAATGATAAAATATTTAACTTATGTGTGCCTACTTATAAAATCAAATTTTGTAGGGAAATAATTCTTAGAATCAGAAAGAAATTAATTTTTCCAGTCAGATCCTTTAAAAGATTAAGAAATCGAATGTGCGCTTTTAGTGTAAGCAAGAAAACTGTATCTTGAACTTCCATGTTTGACAGGCAATTGTTGCTTATGGTGCTAAACATTAAATTTTTATTTAAAAATGCAATTAGAAGATAGGAATACATATTTTTAGCATACATTGAAAGAAATATATATATATATATATTTATTTATTTTAATCCTCACCTGAGGACATTTTTGCATTTATCTTCAGATAGAGAGGGAGGGAGAGAGAGAGAGAAACATGGACGTGAGAGAGACACATTGAGTGGTTGCCACCCACACAACCCCAACCAGAGGCTAACTGCAACCTAGGCACATGCCCTTAGCAGGAACTGAACCCGGACTCTCTGGCCCGCAGGGCAACATTCTAATTGCTGAGCCAAACCAGCCAGGGTGAAAAATATTCTTATTTCAAAATAAACATTTTGTATTTCAAAAGTACATATTTCAAAAGGAGGTATTTCATATTTAAGTCTCTAATTGAACATTCTATTTTTTTCATCAGTTTAAGCCAGTGATACATGTTAGGTAAAAAAATGGTGTTTCTTATCTGTGAACAACACAATACTTAGCAGACAGCAATGCTATAATGATTGTGTTTGTATTACCTGAAAAAAGAGATTGAAAAAGTAATACATTGGAAACAGCTTCACTAGAGAGCTATTTCAATTTAAAAAAAACCCCACAGTGGTAGTCTTTATATATAATGATCTGGTTAGAAGGGACTCAGTTTTGAACTGAATAATTGCAATGGGATTTCTCCCAATAACACAATTGTTAACATTTTTAATGCCACTTTCAAATAAATGACCCTATTGCTGTACTAATACAAAATGATAAATTTCTTTCTCATTCTTTTAAATACAGAGTAGAAGTAGAATATCAGTAATTTTAAAATGGGAGGCACATAACGATTGTTACTGCAAGAAGTTTCTGGTGGCATTCCTCAAGAACTAGAAATGTTAAGTTTTTGAACATTGTTTCTTGCAAAAAGCTGGAAGAGAAATATAACTTAGATGAGGAATTACTATCCAGGATACTTAAAAAATTCTACAACTTAGTAACAGAGAACAAACCCTCCAATTAAAAAATGTGCAAAGGACTTGAATAGACATTTCTCAAAAGAAGATATACAGATGCCAATAAGTACATGAAAGATTCTCAATATCACTAGTTATTAATAAGGTGAAAATCAAAATCACAATGAAATACCACTTCACACCCATTAAGATGTCTATTATAAAACAAAACAAAACACACACACACACACACACACACACACAAACCAGAAAAGAACAAGTGTGGCCAGGATGGGAAGGAATTGGAACCGTGTGCACGGCTGTTGGGAATGTAAAATAGTGCAGCTAAAAAAGAGTATACTGGATCCCTCAAAAAATTAAGAATAGATTTATCACATGACCCCAAATTCAATTTCTGGGTATATTACCCAAAATAATTGAAAGCAGGGATTCAAAAGATATTTATACATTCATATTCATAGCAACATTATTCATAATAGACAGAGGTGGAAGCATTGTATGTCTATTGATGGATGAATAGATAAACAAAATGTGGTGCATACATACTATAGAATACTATTCAGCCCTAAAAAGGAAGGACAAACTGACACATGCTACAAGATGAATTAACCTGCAGTTTATTAGGTGAAGTGCAATAAGCCAGGCACAAAATGACAACTACGGTGGGATTCTGCTGATGAGGTAACTAGGGTAGTCAACCTCATAGAGACAGAAAGGTGGCTGGCGGTAGCCAGAGACTGGAGGCGAGTGGAAATGGAGAATTATTGTTTAATGGGTACAGAATTTCAATTTGGGAAGATTAAAATGTTTTGGAAATAGAGGGTGGTGACAGTTCCATTGTAATGCAGACATAGTTAGTGCCACTGGGCTGTACACTTAAAAACTGTTAAAATTATAAATTCTATGTTATGTGTATTTTACCACAATAAAAAATAGTTCATGCAGATATGTTTGGGAGATATGGTGGTTGCAGAAAAATAACAGAGCTTTAAACATGCTTGAAAATAATGCACATTTAAACCTAGGAGAAAATGAGATATTGCAGGATTTCTCACTTTTGGGAAAATTCACAAAACTGAATGGCATTTGGATTATTTTGTACCAAATGTTCCATGACCAATTGATTCAAGATTTAGACATATATGCATTTAGTCAATTATCCATGGTAACTTTGGAACTCAAACACTGCATTCAGTCTCTGTCTGGAAGCAAAGTGGCCAGGCTTAGAAAGAAGTGGTAACAGCAAGCAAATAAAATTCTGTTATTCAGCAGTAAGGATCTGATTTTTTCTTTCCCTCTTGTTTCACGAAGTGTTAAAAGTTCTACACCAGGAGCAGTTACTGGATAGCAACAGAAATAAATAATTTGTAGCAGGTGGCTCTAATTGTGCCCATCAAACCTGTCGCTCAATTGTGCAGAAGAGTGGAAAATCAATTAGCAACTACAAGCTTGGGTGCTGGTGAGCGACAGGAGCGCCTTCGCTCAAAGGGAAACCAGTAATGGAAGAAGATGATTACCAGGGCGGCTAGTGGGCACTCCGGGGTCTGGGGGGCTTTCCGTCCACTGCCCAACCTTCTCAGACAAAAGATGCTGTTGAAAATATTCGAATGTGTATTGTCAAAGAGTAGTACATTGTAGGTCTTTATTTCTTCCCTGTTTGGAGTCTGAATGAATAAAAATCAGGAGTATGGGGCCCTTCCTTCCCTCACCTTGCATATCTCATGTTGGAGTCACTGCTTTGGATGTAGACATGTTTGCAGAGCGGTGCACATGTATGTTACCTGCCCAGGGCAATGCCTCGCTGGGGCTCGGCTGGTGACTGACTGAGCAGCATGCCAGCACAAGGTCACCTGGGTGGGCCCGGGAGGCTGAGGCTGGGGCAAAAGCAACCTTACTTGTGTTACAGTATTAGCTACTGAATACAGTTAGTCAAAGATGACATTTTAAATATTCACAGCATACTTTTATATCCAGTACTGGGGGAAATAAAAACAGTTACTTCTAAATACCTTCTATCATTTTCATAGTTCCCCAAAGATGTTTAGAAAATGAAGCATTTGGACTAATACATTTCTGCCTTTCGCTGGGTCCCTTTGGCACTATGGGTTATCTGTAACGGCACTTTGAGTGTATCTGTGGATTGTGCTACTCTGCCTTCTTCGCTTGTTTCACGTGTCTGTTTCGATGCCTTTAGTGCCGTGAGTCGCACCTGGCAACCACGTCAGGCCTTGGTTTACTTTGTACAGCACACCAGTATGGCGCCTCGCCCCAAACAGAGAACCAGTAAATAATTTTTTAATAAACTCTTGAGTACTGAATTGTTACAAAGTCAGGTAATATATGAAAAGTAACACGGGGCTAGGTGTGTGACAGGCACTCAATGAACATTACAAACACACACACACACACACACACACACACAGAGAAAGAGAAAGAATAAGACATTAAACAAAGGTGAAACTATTAGACTTATTTTCTTCCATGGAAACATAATTAATTAAAAAATACCTAACAAAAGAGCACAGTTTCATTGGTCAGGCCCTGAAAAGAGCCCTATGTTGACTCAGCAGGCAGACACCCCACCGCTGGAATACTTCCAGCCGGAGTCTTGAAACCTTTTGGGTGGACTAGAAGTTGAGGACAGCCGGGGGATTGAGCATTATCCCATGGGCTGGGAGGTCCTGGGTCGATTCTCCATCAGGGCGCATGCCCGGGTTGTGGGCTCGATCTCCGGGTGGGGGGGTGTGCAGGAGGCAGCCGATCGATGTTTCTCTCTCACATGGATGTTTCTATCTCTCTCTCCCCCCAAAAAACAAAAAAAAATCAATAAAAACATATTTTTTAAAAATTGAGGGTAAAGACTTTTTCCCCTGCCCGGTAGCTGTTCTAGGAAGGCGAAAGTAGAACTAAAAACAACACTAGCTACATAAAGGGTAGAGCTATACTCTGAAGGAAGGGTTTCCCTGAGCACAAAATGTTTCACCGGACAATTTATTTTGCCAAATGCTGTCCATCTATCTCTGGGGGCATGTGTGCATGCATGTACATGGAACCACGGAAGAGTTCTGCCTGGCTTGGCGGACAGACTGGGAAAGAAGGTAAGAAATCGAGAAGGCGAAGCGGAAGGACATGTGGGTGGCTGTGAACATTGACTCCCCATGTGTGGGGGAGGGGCAGAGGAAGCATACAGGACTCCCTCCTGCAGGTTAGACTACATGTGACGGGTCACATGAAACCATAGCACCAGTTGTCCTGTTTCCTGGGATTAGTGGCTCTTTTTAAAGGCAGTGGCCTCAGTAAATAAACAAGTGACTTGCTTTGCAGGTAGAGCTTCCCGTGGAACCACGGAAGAGTCCTGCCTTGCTTCTGTGCTCAGCAGGGGGGAGTCCGTCCCACAGGCCTCACTGTCCCCCTGATATGATAGTGACACTGAGGTCATGTCTGCCTTTGGTGCCTTTATTCTCTGCTACACATCAGTGACATGCTGTGAATTGTACGGAGTGTCAAAAGGGCACAATTTCTCTCTTAGCGCTGAGAAGCAACCTGTGCACTGAGAAATCTAATTCTAAACAAACATAGACCCAAGAAGCAATGGGCAAACATGTGAATATTTGACACCTCCAGTTTAGTTATACTTACTTTTGTTCTAAAAAAAAAAGGGGGGGGAGAGAACACAACCTGATTCATACACGTTAAGTTTTATTTAAAAAAATTTTTTTCTTTATTGAGTTTGGAGAGAGAGGAAGAGAGAGGGAGAGAGATAAAAACATCAATGAGAGAACACATCGATTGGCCGCATCCTACATGCCCCCCCACTGGGGATCGGGCGCACAACATGGGCATGTGCCCTGACCGGGAATCGAACCAGCGATCTCTTAGTGCATGTGTTGATGCTCAACCACTCAGTCACACCGGCCAGGCTACACACATTAAATTTTAAAAATGTAATGCTAAATAGTATATTTCTTTTCTAATACAAACACATAGAAGATAAAATCTAAATGCAACTGAATATATTAGCAAAGCTAGATAATAAATACATCTTTATGAAAAGTAAAAGTCACCTTAAATTTTACTATTTGTTGCTCAAAAATCAATTGAGGAATAACATCATATGATCTAAATTCATTTCAGTCAATAATTTAAATACCAATACCCTAACGTGCAGTATGCTTTGGATTTCGATGGGTTATTGATTCTGGCTAGATTTAATCATTCCAACAGCCCTCATGTCAAAGCACAGCCACGTTTCTGGTGGAAAGTTTCTCTTTTACCTGTTTGTGATGGTTACCAGCGCAGGAGGACAGTAATAACCACTGGAGGCGTGGTCAAAGTTTCGAAGGACTGTGTCAATTTTGTAACAGAACCCACCATGTCTCTCCCATCCCTTAAAAGAGAAAAAGGAAAATTAAGGACATAATCTAATTTAGTTAAATTTTTTTATAAAAGATCTTTTTTGTTATATTCTCATTTATTACTTACCTTACTTTCTTCTTTGACCCACCCAAAATTCAAAACTTGAATTTTGTCTTGATAGCTTTGTATTTATTCCATCTGGTAATGCTAGTAGCTATGGTCACTTCTAGATTTAATTCTTAAAACCTAAACATTTCTATTAACCCAAAACCTAAAATCTTAAAAGCAAATGGAAATAAAGTGACACTTTGTCAAGAACTCTCTCTCTTTCTCTTACACACACACACACACGGTTAAAACATATAGAATTTCATACAAATGGCTCCTACAAGCTGGTAGAAATTAAGAGTGTTGCCTCTGAAGACAGAATGCATGGCTTTGAATCCTGGTTCCACCCCCATGTGACCTTATTTAATCTCTCCATGTCTTAGTTTTCTCCTTTGTAAAACTATCACAGTATCCATGGGGCATTGTGAGAATCAAAGGAGACAATGCAGGCAGACTCCTCAGAATAGAGACAGAGACTCAGTATAAGCAAAGAGGACATATGTATCTAGATCACAGTGTATATTTTTCCAGCTTCCTTTCATACTGCTATTTCATGTTATCCCACTGAGATTCGCTGAGGTTAGGGACTTGGGTAAAGTCACAGACTCGTGCGTAAGCTGACCTGGAACCCAATTTTGATGCAATCCAGGATGGTCTTGGCTGAATCATAACACGTCCAAATAGAGATTGGCCAGAATATATATATTTTTGGTAAAGATGATTCCTAAATCACTTGGTTAGCCTTCTAAAGAGAAAGCAAGCAAGTTTTGACACTCAGACCAAAATGACAGCCGTGGTCCGTGGCTCAGCCCTGTGAGCAAGGAAGGCTGCTCTGTTCTTTAAAATCATATGGTATAGGGGACGGACGTTCATTAGTCTTCCATATTTCAACTGAGTTATTTTAGTTCTTCTTCCTTTAACACTATAAAATCACATCACTTATATCATTTTCACGTATTCACCAGTTTTAAAATATACTTCACTTTGTGTCGTGCCCATGCTTGCTGGAATTTGATCGGCTGTCAAATGATTTCTGCTATATTCTCAGTCTTGCAGTAAAGTGAAATAAAATCTTAGTTTAGAAATTAGCTAGTTTAGTTCAAAACATGTTGGTCAACGAGGTGTGGATGACAGGAGTTCCGCAGCCAGCCAGTGGCAAGTGCTCTGAAGTCCCTCCCTTCCCGTTGACCCCCAGCCTCTTCCCAGTGAGTCACCCACAGCTCCAGCCAGAACCCCTGGTGGATCACGCCCAGCAGGGCAGCCAGGTTTTGTATTTGGAAGGCCGGGTGGAGAAAGCCTGGCAATTTGATTTTTCTGACCAAATATTCTTTCTTAATTAGTAGTTTTTAGATCACAGGCTGCTTAGCAAAACAAAAAAATCCAAGACTAAACAGGCTCGAAAAATGTGGCACAGTAATAACCAGAAAAACAAAGACTCTTCACTATAAGCCTTCGAGCACATAATGAAAGTGGAAGAATGATTGTATCCATGAATATCCTCTGCACATGAGGCACCATTTCATTTTAAATGAAATGATGATGATAATACTGAAATGATTGCTCATATTGTGAAATCCCAACAAAAGTGACTCAGAGGGGAGAGTAAATATTATTTTTTCTTTGAAATTATCAAGATTTATTTCATAAATTAATTTTGTGTGTGCAGACTGTTTAGAGAATTACATTGAAGCAATTGTGTAAAAGAAAGGAACCTTTTGAAACCATACTCGTAGACTGATGATGCATAAAAGCAATTAATGGGAATTTTGCCATAAAGTTAAGAGAACTGGGTCTGCACTCATAAGCTTTAAATACTGGCAGTTCTGGCCAGAACAGGGAAGCGGCGTACAAAGTTGGAATAGAACATCAGTGCTATTCCTGCTGTGTAAGAAGTTAATTGTCCTTTCAACATGAAACATGTTGAATTGCTTGAAAGACACTGTGAGACACATTTTTTCTTAATATTTCTGTTTAGATAGAGAGTAGATTAGTGATCAGTCATAACTAATTCAGGAATTATAATCATTAGCTATAATGTTCAGCACATGTCACCTATAGCATGTGTCCCGTTCAGTTAGAGCATGAAGATTCTTATGTGTACACATTGATTAATAAATAAAGTGCAGTTTCCGGAGAGAAGAATTATTGTTCAATTGGCACAGAAATAATTGGATTAGGAGAAGATAATTCAAAGTTTGCTTAAAAATCCAGTTTGGGGAAATTTTGACATTCATACAATCTAAAAATCTCCAGTATTTAAATCCAAATTCGTGTGTGTGTGTGTGTGTGTGTGTGTGTGTGAGAGAGAGAGAGAGAGAGAGAGAAAGAGAGAGAGAATGTGTTGAGGACACCGATAAGTAGATTTTTTTTTGGTAACTTTCCTGCCAAAGGATATTAAATGTATTTTAAGAAATCTAAAACATAATTTTCTATCTTGTAAATTTAAACCTAAAGTATTACGTTTTTTATTTGAAAAAAATTTTTTTCTTTATTGATGTTAGAGAGAGAGAGGAAGGGAGAGGAAGAGAGAGATAGAAACATTGATGAGAGGGAACATCACTTGGCCACCTCCTACATCCCCACCCTGGGGCTCGGGCCCACAACATGGGCATGTACCCTGACCGGGAATCAAACCAGCGACCTTTAGAGCATGGGTCGACGCTCAACCACTGAGCCACACTGGCAGGGTGTATTAAGTGTTTTTTAAATTAAAGTACTGAAAATGCTTTATTACTTAAAATACTAAAGTATTTGTATTATCCCTTTCCCAAATAATGAATATATTGTGAACATACACTTCTCTCCCTTGTAATCCAGTCCAATGTTGAAGAAAAGTGAACAGGAAAGCAAGCGTTGGAATGAGGACGTTCACCTTCCTGCTTGGAGGAAGGCACTGGCTTTCACTCTGACTTCCCTTGGGAAGCCTGTGAACCCCCGTGAGAGGGAGCACCCCCTGCCAGTGACTGTTTCTACAGATGGTAGAGAGTGTCATTTACATTTCTTATCTCAAAAGAAAAGTCATCTTAGGTTGGAGAGGATGGCGAGAAGATCCTTGCAGAGCTGTAAGTCCTTCCTGTGACTCTGGCTGATAATTGTTGGGTCTGTTCAAAGTAGCCCACATTTAGATAAAAGGAGGAGAGATGGGGGGGAGGGAGAGAAAGAGGGAGAAGAGGAAACAAAGGCCGGAGAGAGAGAGGGAGATAGCTGCACTTTAAGTTGATGGTGAACACATTTTTTAAGTTACGAAGTCCCTGCACCTAAATCACAAGGTTAATGGCACTTACCTCTTGACAGCCTGATTCAGAGTCCGGAAGGACCCGGCCGGCTTTCTTACAAATGTAGGGAAGGGTTTCTTCACAACTTTTAACTTTCCAGTGTCCCTCCTGAGGGGAAGAATATTACAAGATGAATGAACACATCCTGTTACTCATGCTGACAGGCAACACCAATTATTTGGAACAAATATATGACTAACAATAAGTGTTTCAGGATGGAGTCCTGTGTTAGGACCTTGTGTTGTCATTAGAAAGGGTTGGGTGTCTCTCTCCACTTGAGCGGGAGGCCCTGCTCTCACTCCAGCATGGGACCCGGCAAGGCATGCCGTCCGGACGCGGGGCAGGAGCAAGCAGCAATAAATGCTTCTGGACGTGCGCAGGCTTCATGTTGGGTGAGTTTCATACATGATCTCAGTGTTCCTGTGAGGTCTGCATTATTACCCCCGTTTGAAAGGTTAGGTTTAATGCTTTGCGTACGGACCTGTAGTCAGTAAAACCTGGAGCTAGGATTTAGTGCCAGGCTCAGCTGGCTTTACGTTAAGCTGCCCTCGGTTTTTCTTTGTAAACGATGGGTTCCAGCAGTAATTCTCAATTTTCAGTCTGCACCAGAGTTACCTGGAGCGGTTACCAAAACAAAGATGACTGGGTCCCGTGATCGGTGTCTCATTCAGTAAGTCCCAGGGGGGACCTGAGAATTCACATTTCTAACAAATTTCCGGGTGACGGTGATGCTGTTGGTCTGGGGGCCGACCACTCAGATGAGGCCATTCTGCTGCCCTGGTAAGAATGCTGCTTCCTCTCTTTATCCGCTTCTAAGTGGGAAGTACGGCTGCTAACAGAGTAAGATTTTATCCTCCTTTTCAAACTTTTTTTATTTTAATACAAATCAGACCGATAGGCTAAAACCACATAATTCAAATTTTAGGTGGCATTTCAGGCAGGCCGAGTTTTAGGGGAGTATGGAGCCCTTCTAGGACGCTAAGAAGCATCCTAGCTGGAGGCTGACCCGGTTGCCTGTGAGGGTAGCTGTGCCCCCCCGCCCCCGAGTCTGCAGTTACAGGAGCGTGTAAGGCACACTGTAGCTGCTTAATAACCACTGGGTAGATGGATGAATGAATACATAGTTTCCTGGGTTCTCATATTCAAATTTGGGGTTCAACCATGCTTAGGTAACTTTTTAATTATAATAATTATATTCATATTGAGTTCTACTTCAAGGGAATAAATGTTACTTTTTATTTATTATTATTATTATTTTTTATCCTCACCTGAGGACATTTTTTTTGCATTTATCTTTCAGATAGAGTGGGAGGGAGAGAGGGAGGAAGAGAGAGAGAGAAACATCAACATGTGAGAGACACATAGAGTGGCTGCCCCCCACACGACCCCATTCGGGGCTGGGGACAAACTGCAACCGAGGTACATGCATTTAGCAGAAACCAAACCCGGGACTCTCTGCCCTGCGGGCCGATGCTCTAACCACTGAGCCAAACCGGCCAGGGCATAAATGTTACTTTTTATATATCAACTGTGTTAAGGAGCTACTGAGCCAACAAAAATCAGGCCACAAAGCACCACACTGACAGCAGCGCTGTCCCGCCACACCCAGCGATGTTCACACCTGTCCTTGCTCTCTGAAAACAAATGTCTCTGTCCAAATGGTGGCTCCTGTTCTGTGAACATGCTGAGGGCAATGCCCATGTTTGTCACAAATAAAACAGGAGAATGGCTGTAGGAAATGAAGGTCATCTTTGTTATAGCAGAACTAATGAACCAACAAAGCATCAAATACTGTAGATTGAATCATGGTGGCTTTCAGCAGTGAGACCCAAGACAACCATTTAGAGAGGTCATTGTTTGTCCCTCCTCCCACATGACTCTGAGATAGCACCTTAGCACAAGTGCGGAGACATTCTGCATGTTCAGCAGGCACAAGCTATTTAAGGAACATGAATAAACTGCTTTTTGGAGGAACTTGATACAGTGTTTCCTGGTTCGAAGGAGTGAGGATGCCTACCACAGTGCAATAACCTCAGACTCGGCCAGTAAGTTCAGCAGCTATCTGATCAAAGACAGTAAGTCTATTCTAAACACATAACAAACCCTTCAAATGGCTTGGCATTAAACTAATTCTGTATACTCAGATGTTTTAGATAAACGAGAGACCAGAGGACAGGGGTAGTGTGATGGTAAGGCCACTGGGACCATTACCTTCACGTGGAGAAAAGAGCAAGATTTTCCACTGATTCACAATTTTCAGAGGTTGCTCCCTCTGTTGAAAGCCTTTTATGTTAAGGAGATAATGAAGCTTAAAAGCCATCACTCTCCAGAGTAATCTCTCAACACCTAAGTCCTCCCCTCATCTTCATCACTGCAGACAATGGCACCACCCTCCACCAAGATCGTATTTGCTCAGACGAAAAACCCACCTGTCTTTCACCCCCACATCTCATTTAGCAATACTTCCTGTCTGCCAGAGGATTGCTGAATCTGTCTGCTTGTCTCCACGTTCACTACACTAATTCAACCACCGGAGTAGCCTCCAGACTGGTGTCTCTCCAATCTGTTCTCTGTGCCCAGCCAGTCACCTCAGTTCCTTGAAGCTTGATAGTGTTTCCTACACGGGACCCAAAAGCCTCACAGTTTTGAATTTCTCCTGTCCCATCTGCTGCCACCCCCTCCCCATCCACACCTGTCGCCACACTGGTCGTCTTTTTGATGATCAAACACGGCCGGCCTTGGCCCGCCTTTGGGCTTCTGCACCAAGTGCGCCCTGCCTGGAATGTCACTCTCCCTGCTCTTCAAGAGGGTTTTATTGTTGTTCTTTAAGTCCCAGCTTAACTGTCACCTCTTCAGAGACCCTTCCCGGACAGTTCTACCTGAAGCAGCTGCCCCGACCATCATGTTGCCCATTTCCTCAAAGCTATCATGGCAACTATAATGCCCCTGTCTTTCCCTACGGGTACATACTTACTGCCTTGCAGGAAGCCCCAGGAGGAGCAGGGACCGTGCCTGTCTTGGTCCCCGCACAGCCCAAGTCCTGTGCAGGTGGCCCTCAATACCAGTCCAGCAAAGAGCATTGAACAAAAGCTAAACTTACCAGTTTCTCTGCTGAGACACATAACTGGCTTCTATTTGGAAGAATTTGGGGCTCAAGTGTGTGCCAATTAGTAAAGGTGACTGAGGAGCCAGTAGACCATTCAAAGCGAACTGGAGTTTTATTGCTGCTCAAACCAATCCATGTTTCTGATGCGTTTTCTGTAAGAGATAAAGATAATTTACTTACAAGAATCCTATTATAGCCAAAGGAGATATCACACTGGGGCAATTACCAAAATATAGCACTTTGCAAGTGATTTCTTCATGTGATGGAACCTGTTTAACTCTCGGTAAAAATACCTGCTTAAAGCCTTGGCCAGTTTGGCTCAGCAGTTAGAGCGTCGGCCCGTGGAACAGAGAGACCCAGGTTCAGTTCCCGCTAAGGGCATGTACCTGGGTTGCAGTTTGTCCCCGGCCCCGGTTGGGGTCTTGTGGGGGCAACCAGTTGGTGTGTCTCTCACATGTCGATGTTTCTCTCTCTCTCTCTTCCTCCCTCTCTCCTTCCCACTCTATCTGAAGATAAATGCAAAGAGAATATCCTTGGGTTACGATAAAGGAAAAAAAACACACAAAAAACCTGCTTAAACCCGTTCCTCGTATACCATACTATCAGTGTGCAGGATACAGGCCTGGTAAGGGAGGCAGAGTGGGAGCCGAAGCCAAAGCCAGGGCAAATGCTTAAAAGCAAGTCAAGTGGTCGGGACTCTAGTTCCTGCTACTGTATGAAAAGTAGACCTAAAAAGTCTGTTTTTTTTTTTTTTTTTTTTCTGCCTAGAGAAAGAAAAATTAGGGAGGTGTGCTGGGTTAGGTAAAGGGCACACACACAAAATAACTTTTAATGGTAGTCTAGCTTTATGAAACATTCCTTCTTTTCTCTCTCTGCCATGGGAAAAGGGACCAGAAACTGTTAAAAGCATGGAAATGGGAGCAATGGGTTGCCTGAAATAGAAATAAAGTTAGACAGCCCAGGTGGGGTGAAAGGACCCTACGGGCTGAGAGAGGTCCAGGCGCCCCCACTGAGAGAGAGACAGCCACCGGACGCTTTTCTTCGCAAATGGGAAGGGTGAGGAGAAATGACAGAGACAGATTGTTTTCCTCCTAAACTGAAACCTAACTTGAAGAGATCATCGGAACAGGGTGTGGAGATTTTTTTTTTTTTAATTTCATTTAAAAAATGTACTCTAAGTCAGTGATTTCACTATTTCCTGGCAGAATTTTCCATTAAATACATGCTCTGATGTGCTAAAGCTGGTGGCCTGGAAACTTGGAACTCTTGAACATGTCACAAAGCTTGAGAGCCACCGCACTAAATAAATGATATATTTTCACTGGCTAACATTACTTAAATCCAATTATTTGTCTAAGCAATTCCCCTTTAGTGCTTAGATTACATGACTGCAGCACATCACTGCTATCTAGTGTCCATATAACTAAATTACAGGTTTAGGTTTTTTTTTATTTCAAGTTTCAGGAAATGACATTTGCCCCTTTAAAAAACATAAAAAACATCTAATATATCTGGTATATGTGAGCTTTTAAAAAATTTCTAAGCATGTGTTTTGTAAAAATCCAATGAATTTGCACTCCTGGGTTTTATTTAGAAACTTCAGATATATGTGCCATGAATAACCTCTTTAAAAAAAAAAATGTTTTTATTTATTTCAGAGAGAGGAAGTGAGAGGGAGAGAGAGATGGAAACATTGATGAGAGAGAAATATTGATCGGCTGCCTCCTGCACACCCACTACTGAGGATCAAGCCTGCAACCCAGGCATGTGTCCTGACCAGGAATCAAACGGGTGACCTCTTGGTGCACAGGACAATGCTCAACCATCTGAGCCAGGCAATAATCACTTTTAAATTGCTTAATTTTTTTCTACTCTGCTAATAAAGACTGTTACTACATTTTATTTCATACTTTTTAAATCAAAGATGTTTGGCACTCACCATCTCCAAGGAGGGTCATAAGAAACTCCACTTCTGCTAAGGAGGCTATATCTATCAGTGCACTGTTATCAGACTGGCAAGAATGCAGAGCCTCATTCCAGGTCTTTCCTTCTTTCTGAAGTTTGTAGCAATTATAACTGTGGGGATTCCAGCCAGGCTCACAGTGGGTAGCATAATATTTCCAAGCATCTTTTTCTTTTTAAACCAACAACAAAAACAATGTCATTTTCCACATCACTCATGACTCTTCATATACATATTATTCTTAATATAAAAATGTAAATAGCAACATCAGAATATGATCACTTTAAAATGTTGAAAAACAGAACACATATGAAACATTAACATAAATGATAGGATTCTAGACCTTCAGAGTTGAGAAGGAGCCAATCTCTGATCCAGATCTAGATCTAGGATCTAATCATTAGATTCTGATGGATCTCAGTGCTTCGTGTTCCAAATGAGATAGCGAAGGCACAAGGAAGGAAGGAGACTTGGTAAAGGTCACGCAGTCAAAGCCGAGAGTCAGGGCTAGATATAAAATTTACCGGATTTTAAAAGAGTTCTCCATTTCAAAAAATTTTACACACTGAAAAAGGAGTGTTATAAACCACAATTTAAATGGTATTTTATGTAGAGGATGCAGGTGGGGACAGATATGAGCTGAAATTCTGGCCACTTCCTCTACAGTAGAGACGACAAATCGCCTTCATCCTCAGGGTCAGTCTGAGTGCCTGTGGTGCCGTCTGGATTCACAGGAGCTCTGGGTGAGATGGGAGGGACAGGGCTGCCGTGATGTTTTGACTGGAGGGGAGACAGTGGTGTGCGTGGCAAGGCCGGCTCTCTTCTTCCCGGACCTTGTCCCCAACCTGGTGGTAGCATTTTTATTTTATTTATTAACCACAACTGAGTGCCTCCCTTAAGCACTCATTTAATTAGTTACAATTCCACTGCTATTTGGGAAACAAGATGTTCTTTTTTTTTTAATTTAATTATTTATTTATTAATTTGTTTTTGTTACAGACATTTCTCATTTTTCCCCCATTGATACCTTTCTCCCCTTTCTCCCAACCCCATCCCCAGCTTTGTTATCTATGTTTATTGGTCATGCATACATGCATGTAAGTTCTGTGGTTTATCCCCCCCCCCAACTCCCCCTCTTCTGAGGCTTGTATCCCACCCCTATGTCTCCGGGTTAATTTTGTTCATCAGTTTGTTCAGTTCATTATAACGTTCTTTTAAAATTCCTTCTAGGACTCTGACCGCAATTAGCACCACGGCGGAAGAATGTAGAACATTTAGATATCATTTACTCAAGTGGTTTTCAACCTACAAAGAGAGTCACAGGACCCCTTTTAAAAAGGGGAGGTTACACTTCACTCTACAGGTAAGAGAAAAGGAGAAAATAGGAGCTTCTCTGAGTGAAGCAAAGGTGGAGCCCAGCAAAGAACCCGGGGATCTGGGAATGCAGTTCGGAAATCTGGCCTGGGTCATCAAAAGGATACGCTGAAATTGAAGCAACAGCAACTACTCCAAACAGACTCAGCTGAGTTACTCTCATTTCTGGTCTCTGGCCTCAGTGAGTAGATCAGGGGAGTAAATAAAACAGAAGAGAAAAAAAAGTACAGGAGAGAGTGCAAGAAGGCATAAGAAAGAACAAAGAAAGAAGAAATTGAGAAAGGAAAATGATAGGAAGAGAGGGATTTCAGCTCATTATTGAAATAACAAAAAAAATTTCTACATTAAAAACTGTCACAGTGCTTCTAACCTGCCCTCATATTCTACAATACCCTTAGGCTTAGCTGCTTAAAGAAAAAAAAAGTTAAAGCCTAGTTGTAAGGAATAATATTTTTACATGATAATGCAGCTTATTATCTTAAATCTAAAGTTGTTTTTTATTTTTTTATTTAATTAATTTATTTTTGTTACAGATGTTTCTCCTTTTCCCCCACCCATTCCCCCCTCCCCCTCCCTCCCCATCCTGTCCCCAGCTTTGTCGTTCATGTCCATTGTTCATGCATAAATGCATATAAGTTCTGTGGTTTATCTTCCCCCCCAACCCCCCCTTCTGGGGATTATCAGTCGGTATGTACCCCACTTCCACATCTCTGGGACCACCCCATTCCTCAGACTGTTATGTTCATTATATTCTACAAATAAGTGAGATCATATGATACTTGTCTTTCTCTGTTTGTCTTGTTTCGCTTAGGATGATACTCTCCAGGTCCCTCCATGTTGTCTCAAAGGATAAGAGATCTTTCTTTCTTACAGCTGCATAGTACTCCATTGTGTATATGTACCACTGCTTTGTTATTCATTTGTCTACTGATGGACATTTGGGCTGTTTCCAGATCTTAGCTATTGTAAATAGTGCTGCTACAAACATGGGGGAACATATATTCATTCTGATGGGTGTTTCAGACTTCTTAGGGTATATTCCTAGAAGTGGGATCACTGGGTCAAATGGAAGTTCAATTTTTAATTTTTTGAGATAACGCCACATTGTTTTCCACTGTGGCTGCACCAGTCTACATTCCCACCAGCAGTGTACTAGCAAGGGTTAGAGTTGTTTTTGATTATGCTGGTTAAGCATCGTTGTGATTCTTTTAATGATGGTTATGTTTTATTTCTACTTTTTAGTTAAGATATTAATTCCCACAGAAACCGAAAAGAGGTATTAGTCCTTAAAAACAGAAATAGTTGGGCTTCCAGGTACTAGATTGTAATTAAGTAGTATTTACATTACACCTAAAAGTTTTGTATATTATTTCAGGAGGAGGATGTGTTCTTATTAAGACATAGAGTGTGATAGGAAATCGATGGAGTAAATAATTTTATAAAACTGTTTCCTAATTTATATTTAATTTTCTAGGGCAACTATCAATAAAACTCAAAACTACAATTGAAAAGAAAGCATATTTTGTTTTTATAATGCAGAATGACTAAGAACGCAAATTTTTGAAAAACAAAAATATTTTCATATGCTTAGGTACTTTGCTTTAGTTTTTAGTAAAAACCTAAACGCATTTGTTAAATTCATGTGTTGTTACACATTTTTATTCCTACAAACACAAAAGTAGCTTTGCTAAGTTTAAAGTATGAATTATTATAAAAACTGGAGGACTTTGAATATATTGAAAGGACAAGTAAGCAACTCGTAAGGACAACTTAAAATGAAAACACTTACCAACTACTTCGTGATCAGTGTGGTTTAGGTATTTTTTACATACGTAAGGTAAGGTGGTCTCACAGTCCCGACTCCTCCAGGCATTTGACATAAATGAATTAAATGTTCCACAGTGATATTCAACAAATGGCCCAAAACTTATTTCTGAAAATACAGTGTGAGTATTTAATATTAGAAGCAAAAGCAGTTAATTTCACATATATTGAAATATAGTTTTAGCATCAAGGAGACAACTCTTCTCTCTGGCATATAGGGTAAATCCCTTAAGACATTAAATTATTATATTTATGACTTTGCAGTTGGAAGTCCAGGCATGACAATGAAATAATTTCCCAAAGTCGGCAACAGCTGATTTTATTCTTTTAAAATAGAGAACCATGCTTGCTATTTGTGGCTATTTTTAAAACAGTTGACTAGAATCTTGGCTCTGACCCAATTCCTCCTGCAACCTTGGCTAAATACACAGCTTACCTTCTTGGCCTCCATTTCCTTATCTGGAAAAGCCTTACAGGAATTAAGTCAGGCTTAACATTTCTTGTAAACCACTTTCAAAATACCAGGCCTTGTAAATACGAGGAAGCGCTGCTGTTTCAGGCTGTGGGATGACGCCACCTGTTGAAGGTAAATAAAACGCGGCAGGTACCTGGGCTCCAGTTCAGATAGTTGAGCGGTGTTCTATCAGACCACTGCCAGCCAGCGTGTTCATCCAGCTGGTTCAGACCCATCCACACTTCCACTGTTTCACTCCCTAGGTGCTCTGAGATGAAGAGAAATTAGAGTTTAAAAAATAATAATAATAATAATGTTACACTTGTTTCTTGTTTTTCTGTTCCTGGAGCACGGAGTCAGAAATTAACTCCAGCCTGTGGCAGAAATGGGTTTAAGTGCTAATCTCACCCTGGTGCTGCAGAGCAAAACGCCAGCCTGTCCTGGTCCCGAGAAGCATGGCAGTCTCCTGAAGGCGCACCAGCGCAGCTGTGATGTGTTTTAGCACCTAGAAATGCTGCTTCTCAGTGTTTCTCGGTCCATCCAAGAGTGCATGGTTACGAATTTGAGGCCATCTCATTTGTGTGCACTTAGGGGTTCTAGAGGGTGGAGGAGGAAGTGTTCAGGGCCACTCCCAGAAAGTCTTTCTTTTCTCGCCACATGTGACTGGTGGCTTCAGCTTGGAGACTCAGGACTCCAGCTGAGGCGTCTGGATCCAAGTGACCAGGGCACCCAGAGGGATCCATAGCAGGTTGGAACCTAAGCGCCATGCATGATGCAAATGATTCTTCAACTCAGACTGAGAAGTCTCCCTGGCAGGCTGGCCCTGAGGCTCCTCCTAACCACTGTGCCGCGGCTCCTCATGTTTGCATTCAGTGCCATTTTGGGTGTAAGTGCTACGTATAAACACGTGCCTTGACATGCTTGTGCAGAAAAATAGGGATATCAAAATTGCAGAATTAAGGGAAATCTTTCTTATTTTTTTTCTTTTTGTGCTCCTGAATTTAAAAAAAATTATTCTAGAATAAACATGTACGACATGTAATATAAAATTTGGGGGGAAAAGTGTCAGAAACTTTTAGTGAAAGTGGCTAATTTTTTAACACTTTCAAATATTGCCATTTAATCTTATTTATTCATTTATTTAGGGAACATTGGTGAACACACTATATAAGTTTTAGATGTACAACATTATAATTTGATATCTATGTTATTGCATGCTCATCACCAAAAGTCTAGTTTCCACCCGCCATCGTATATTTGACATTCTTTACCCATTTAATCTTTTCATCTGTGAAGGAGAGCCTTGTTCTCTCATGGTTCATTTGCTTCGGAACCCAATTTATTTGGCACCAGATGCAGTAGCCTTGCCTGAGACTGAGACCCTGGCAGATAAGAATTATAAAAAGGGTGACTCTATGTTCCAATTTGCCTGGAAAACTCATGTTTTATGTTATGTTAGTAGTTCCAGAATAATGACAGCTGGTTTTACTCTCAAAAGAGCCTCAGTTTGGATGATCCATTATAGGGGTCAGTGTATTCACTTAACAAGTCTGCATCATCCTCTGTGACTGGACATTTCAATACAACAGTGAACAACTGGAAGAACCTAACACAATAAGGAAAGAGAAAAGGGTGCTTTATAGTTTTGAGAGCCCAGACATCACTAAACAGAAACAGCATAACATTCATGGGCCCTGCCTTTCCAAATTCCTGTAGCATTAACATGGAGTCTCTGCCTAACGTTGATTATGTTAGGTCTTTCAATGGCATCGCCTGATTAAATCATCCTGATAGCAGGAGGCAGAATGCAAGATGGATCGACAAAACAGAGACATTTTCACATCTCAAATGGGGTAAGTGCCAAGTGACATTTTCAAATAATCTACTTAAAATATTTAATTGTTAGTTAACTCTTACCTATTTTACATTAAAACTAAATTGGCTCAAATTTTATAGTAACAAACTCAAACCTAAATTCCTTTGGATATTTCCTTATTTCCTTATTTATTTATTTATTTTTATTAATTTATTTTTGTTACAGATGTTTCTCCTTTTTTCCCCCATTGACTCCCTCCTCCTTATCCTCTCCCACCCCACCCCCAGCTTTGTTGTCCCTGTCCATCGGTTATGCATACATGCATATAAGTTCTGTGGTTTATCGCTTCCCTCCTTGGCATTTGTGAAAGCTTAGATAATTCCTTATACCATAGTTAATGTTCAGTGATATCAAAAAGCACTAGCCTATTCTCATTATTAAAAAATACCTTGATCAGAACAGGCTTCTCTATTTATGAACAGATTTTTCTGTTTTCCTAAACAGTCCCCAGTCTAATTATAGAATTGTGATATTTAAATAAAAATCTCTCACATATCTTATTTTTAATTGTTATTTAAGTTTGATGAGTAAGTCCAAACCCTCTTATTAGAAATATTGACAGTCAAGATAGAGAACAATGGTAATTCATAAGTGGTATGTAGAATTATCTATAAAAAACATTAAGGGCTAACAATGACTTTGGAAATGGGTGTTTTCTGATATATGACCCACTCAAATTGGTTTTCGTGGTAATTTTCCACTTTTGCATGTCTGTGGGGAAAGGAGCAGGAATGCACTGTTCATACCTTTGTTACAATCTTTCTGGAAGATATTAAGAACTTTCAAAAATCTTAAAATATGCTTCTACTTCCACCCAGTGAATCTATTTCTACAAACTGGTAGAGAAGTCATTGGAGATATGTGCACAAAGATTTGTGCGGGGATGGTTTATAACAGCAACAAATAAATAAAACAAAATAAATAACTGTATCTATCTATTCCTAGCTATGTATATCTATATTTATTTTATTGACATGGACAGACATTCATCATATGAAGATAAATGAGTATATTACCACACTGTGTGCATGGCTGTCATATAGTTAACACATGGACTGTTTGTCGTGTGTACCGGGCACTTTTCTAAGACTTCACATGCCTTATAACATGTAATCCACACTGCCAAGAGGTAGGCATTATTATTACTTCTATTTGATAGAGAGAGGAAGTTGATGCACAGAGAGGTTAAGTCACTTGCTTGGGTAGCCTTGCTAGTAAGTGGTAGAGGCGGGATTCAAACCCAGGCAGGCGGCTCTCTGGTCCATGCTCCTAACCACAGTGAAACAGCTGCCTCCTATGTTTATTCAATAACATTTTTCAGAGATACTATGTACATATGCATGCATTTGTGTTTTAGTTGAAAAATATGGTTCTATGTGGTTTGTAGAATTATGGGAGACTTGCTTTTCTTTCTGTATACATGAAATTTTAAAATTATTCTAGAATAAATATGTACTACATATGCAATATAATTTTAAAACTGTGTCAGAAATTTTAATGAAAGTGACTAATTTTGTGACAGTTTCAGATGTTTCCAAATTTTTCAAAAAGTTTTACATACACATATACAAACACATCTAACCTTTAAAGGAGAAATAAGAGGAGAGTTTATGTGAAACACAAGTCCCAGCCCATTATCACAACTCTTTTGACATCGTACATTATTCTCTTATATTGTTAGTTACCATGAGTGTGCTTTTGCTTTCTCCACTAAATTTTAAGTTATTTGAAATCCCGTGGAAGGCCTACTACATATCTGCACACAGTGAGTAATAGGAAAGATTTTACTTAATGAATGACTTGATTATTTATTAATGGGAACTAAATGGCTAAGAACTCAGAAATTTGTACTTAAGTTTCAGAGTCTCCCAGATCCACTTACTTGAGAGGTTCAGGTCAAAATTCTGGGTGGTGAGTTTGGGCCATATTAATAAAATAAAATTATTTTCCAAGGAACATTTTTTCCCCAGAATATATCTTTGCATATTTGGACGTAATGGTTAACAGTCATTTTAAGTGTATCAATATCAATGTCCCCCTACTTACTCCTTATGAAACTTTCTTCACTCTCATCTGCGATGCTTAGTAGAGCACCTCCTTGCATCTGGCAGGATGAATGTGCCTCACTCCAGGAGAGGGAAGAAAGCAGGTTGAACTGGTAGCAAATGTGGGAATTGAGATTCTTCTCCCAGACAGCATCACAACCCACCTCTGCAGATGCTGGAAACAAAAGCCATCAAAACATTAACTGTAATCTTATTTTATCTCTATGGCAATATACTTCTAGGAGGAATTTGAATGGAATGATTCCAAATTGCAGCCTCTCAACCTTCAGTGCCTTACTGATTGTTGATTAGGTTTCTAGGATGAAATCTGCATTGTTATCCCATGTGTACTTTATGGTTGAACTCTTTCAAGATTTAAAAGAAATTCTAGAAATGATCAATAAAGAGCTGCAATAATCCTTTCTGGGAAAATAATAGAAGCCATTTTTAAGAGAAGAAAATAGAAGTGAAGGATTTGTGAAAAATAACATCTGAATTCTTTAAAAAGCAGTCATTTAGAACTTTATACAGAAAGCTGTGTAAATTTAAAGGTTTATCTGAGGTAACCGCAACTGTTGTTTCAAAAGGCTTTCCCTGCCGAAACCAAAATGTTAGGGAAAATTAAAGGGGTACTGTTGAAATATGCGTTTATAGAGAACAGTTTTCAAATAAACATTGAGAACAGGAAAACTGATATTTAGTTTTAAAACTTTCTTTCAGCCAAAAAGAAGAGAAGCAAAATCTACTTGTAAAACACTGACCAACGATTGCATAGTATGTTTAAAAGTAAATTTAATAAAGTATAAAATGTGGATCTGAAATCTAAAATTTATTGAAAATGAAGACCTAATTTGGATGCTTTTGCTAAAAGTTTAAACCAAAACCTAAGGTGAACTAAGCAGCTACAATAATTACCTGAAATCAAACTCAGCCAAAGAATTTCACAATGTAGAAAATGTGAACTATGCTACAGCTTGAGTGTAAGTGATGGTCGGCAATCTGCTAAAATCTAGAACAGCCTTTCCCCAGTGTGATCCACACGATGATACGACTTCAAGAGCTCCCCAGGAAAATTCAGGACATAATGCCTATGTAGTTTCTTCTGAGAAATTCATAATGTACATTAGCATCTTAAAGGCTCTGAGCAGTTCTGCAGTAGACAAACAGCTTAACTTTAATTCGGTATACTTTATACTTATTTGATAATGAATTCTTTTTTGTTTTCTTTTTCCCATAACACTTAGATACCCTTATGAAAGTGCAAAGTTTGTTTTCATGTCTGCTTGTAACATGCTTTCCCCAGAACTGCATTAGTTAACCAAAAGTTATTAAACCACATATAAATCCAAGGTTGTCTGTAGAATTTCCTGACTGATATATGTATTTATCGAAAGAGGCGTGATTGTAGGGGGGTAGAAAACAAGGTTATCACCAAGTAAAACTGAAGTAAAGGAAGAGAAAGGAAGGACATTTTCAGGCACCAGCTTGCCCTGGGTGGCTGAAATTTCCCCACTGAGACTGAATCCTGAGAGATTGTCTTCAGTTAAAATGCGAGGTCATCCCTGAGATGGACAGCACACTCAGCATTTTTAGACATGAGTTCATCCTGTGTGACGCTGAGGCCATGAGGAAGGAATAGGGGATGTTTACAATTAAAGTGTGCATAACAATCATTTAGCCAGCTTGTAAAATAATAGCAGATTCCTTGTTTTCAGTCTCGGAGATTCTGAATCAGGAGGTCTGGAGTGGAATTCGGGAACTTGCATTCAACACATTCCTGATTTTCAGGAGGATGGTCCAGGAAGCAAACATTGGGAAACACCAGCTTAAAAGAAAAAATTCATAGCATTTCCCAGGAAGGCAGGTCTGAGTAGCCTTCCACACTAGAAGGTTAATAAGATGTGAGAGGGGAGTTGTAGGGAGAGGGTGTCAGAAGGGGTGATCGGGGAATGGGACTGAGGTAGGAATGCCTGCCTGTCATGTCCTGCCCTGGGGGAAGATTTGACAATAAGTCCTAATTATGGGCCTCCAGGTCTGGAGGACACTTCAATTGATCTCATTTCCATTTTTGTCAAGAGTTGATCTTGTCCTTTCAATAGGGCATGGGGCTATGTAGACACAGCCTTTTGCAGTAACCTGATTAATTCTATTCTTTAAACAGTTAAGTGAGAGGCGTGCTGGTGATCCTGTCTGTATTGCAAATTACATAGCCCAATTTTCTTCGATTTCCCTTGGTTTTGGATAATCGGTGGCAATTGTCAAGGTTAATCAAAAGGAAACTTTCAGTCAAGTGTTTGCAAAAGGTGCCCATACTCTCCTAACAAGTTCATTTGTCACTGAAATGTAGGTTTAACTAAAATATGAGAATCTGTACTTCTGTGCAGACAGACACAAGTCCCCTTTCTGCTTCTCTAGGTAGGCTGGCTGCAGGCCAGCCACTCCAGGGATCTTACTGGAAGGTGGTACAGTAACAAATGGAATGAAAATGCCACCCTGGACCAGGGTGCTATCATGTACTGTCTTGACCTCTCTTCAGGACTGAAGGCCTTATTGTCCCAGCTGCCAGGAGATACCTCTCAACATTAAGCCTTCTTCAAGGATGGCCTTGACTGAAGAGTCTCTTTGCCCAATGTCAATGTCCTTTGTCAAAGGCAGCCGGCAAACCGTGATTGATCAGTACAGAGCTAGAAGGCCCCCATTTTCCCCCAACAAGGGACAAATCCAGCTTGAGACACCTCAGGGGGTCAGTGAGGCTTGCATTCCAGTCCTGCCAATTTTGCTGTCTTCCTTCCTTTCCACATGTATTGATCCTGCGAGTGTCTCCCCTTCACCCCCAAGAAACCTCCTGGAGCTCAACCTCTGCCTCAGAGACTGCTCCCTGGGAATCCACTTGCCACAGGCTTCCATCTCGGCCTGGATTTATTTACTTATTAGTTCTTTTGCTTCTTCATATATAATTTCTTTCCAAGCCACCGAAAATGCAAGATTAAAGGCTGGCATCTCACATACATTTAATTATCTTGAAAATTTCTAATATAAGGGCTAGAATAATGTTGTCATATTTCCTTTTAAAAATATTTCTTATTGACTTTTTAGAGAGAGAGATAGAAACATTGATATGAAAGAGAAACGTCGATCGTTGATCGGTGCCTCCTGCATCCCCCCTACTGGGGATGGAGCCTGAAACCTGTGCATGTGCCCTGAGCGGGAATCAAAGCGGGACCTCTCAGTCCATGGGACAGTGCTCAGTCCACTGAGCTACACCGGCTGGGCAAATGTTGTTATATTTCTTTGCACCTTTGGTTGTGTTTATATGATCCTTTCTGTCACTAAATTATGAAATCCTTGAGGGAAGCAACTGTGTTGTATATATCTTTGAATCTTCTATTATTTGGTGAAAAACTACCCACCTTTTTTGCACGATGTTATAAATAGGTGATTCTCCCCCTCCCCAAATATACCTCTTGTAATGGACTGAGGCATATTTCTGTCAGCACTGATGTCATCATGGATTGTGACGGAGAAGCAGTCATTCCTCCTTGTCTATTAATGTGTCTTATTTTTCTTCCCTAAGGACACAGCTTTGCCATTATCTCAGGTGCATTGTCTTGTTCCTGATCCTAGGGAGAAAGCGCTCAGTCTTTTATCATTAAGTATGTTGGCTGTGGGGTTTTGTTCGTTTGTTTTTGTTTTTAATCGAGTCTCTTGATCAGTCGAGGCCATTCCCTTCGGTTCCTAGTTTTGTTTTTGTTTTTGCTTTGAGTTATTTGTTTTTCATGAAGGAGCGTGAAATTTTGCCAAATGTTTTCTGAATTGGTAGATGATCATGTGGTTTTGGTCCTTTAGCCTATTGATACGGGTATTCCGTTAAGTGATTTCAGATTTTAAACCAATCTTGCATTCTTGGGATAAAATCCACTTGGTCATGGTGTACAATTCCTTTTATATGTTGTTGGGTTCAGTTCGTTAGTATTTTTTTGAGGATTTTTGCATCTATATTCATAAGAAATCCTGGTCTGTAGCTTTATCTGGTTTTGGTATCAGGGTAACAGTGGCCTCATAGAATAAATTGGGGAGCGTTCCCTCCTTTTCTATTTTTTGATTGAGTCTTTAATCCACTCATTCTTTTAGCTAGAGGATATCTCCTCAAGGCCATCAGTGACTCCCAAACCCAGCAAACAGTTTCAGACCTTGTCGGATCAAGCCCCTTAGCAGCATCTGGCAGGTGGAGCACCCTCCTCTCCTTCCAACATACTCTCTTCTGACTTCACATGTCTGGCCAGCCTTCCACCTCGATGCCCACCCCTTCTTTTTTTGCTGGTTCTACTCAAACTAAATATTGGGGTCTTAAGACTTGGCCCTGAGTCCCCTTCCATTTTATTTTATACGTGCTAGAGACTATTTAACTCATTCTCATAAATTCTTTCCCTCTAACTTTCAAGTACATAAAAACTTTCCATCTAAGTACACATTTGCACATGCTTGATTCACATATAACATGTCCCAACCGAAATGCTTGGTTTTCTCTTCCAAATCTGTATCTGAAATGAACTTATCTATGGATAGCAGAAAGCTGGGGTCCTAATTAACACCCCACTTTCTCCTTTATTCCTCAAGTCTGTCCTTACCAGTGAGGAGTCCAACTCGTGGTTTAAAACCTATATGTAATTTCTTTTTTTAGAGAGAGAGGAAGGGAGAGAGAGAGAGACATCTATGGGAGAGAGAAATATCCATCAGTTGCCTCCCGCACACACCAACCAGGGATTGAAGTCACGACTAGGGTAAGTGCCCTGACTGGGAATCAGACCTGCCACCTTTTGACATATGGGATGATGCTCCAACCAGCTGAGCCACACTGGCCAGGGCTATATAATTTTTTAAGCCTGACCATAAGCATTACAAAGGCTTCACCTGGTAGGCCTCATGGAGTAACGCTGCCCTCCCAACACTGGACTTTGTAAGTATCCAAGTGTATGAAGGGCAGTCAGGTAATTCAAGAGGTAAAAATATCTCAAACTAACTGTGCGAGACTCTCCAGCTGTGTATGACATGCAACCAAAAGAGACCTAGCGTGGCCCTAAATTGCCTTGAAAGAAAGCTAGAGAGCCCTGGCCGGTTTGGCTCAGCGGTTAGAGCGTCGGCCTGCGGTCCTGAGAGACCCGGGTTTGGTTCCCACTAAGGGCGCGTACCTCGGTTGCAGTTTGTCCCTGGCCCTGGTTGGTCGTGCGGGTGGCAGCCACTCGATGTGTCCCTTTCACATCGATGTTTCTCTCTCTCTCTGTTCCTCTCTCTCTCTCCCACTCTACCTGAACAAAAAATGAAAAAATGTCCTCGGGTGAGGATAAAAAAAAAAAAAAAAAAAGAAAGCCAGAGAGATTCCTTTACAGGGGTGTGCAAAAAAATAGTTGTTTGTATGGAAAACAATACAATAATTAATAAAGAATAATATAAGAATAAACTGTTTTTCGTACTCACAACTGTAAACCTATGTTTGCCCACCCCTACATGCCATCCTTGATCCTGATCTGTAGTGACAGATGTTTCATCTCATCTGTCACTACTAGTGTGTTTGTGTATAAGTTTATTTATGCTAAATTGAAAGTTTGCTCACTTACAATCAGCTTTTAAAAAAAGGCAGCATCATTTTACATTGCAATACCTGAAAAACAAATCCATGTGAGAAAGATGAGACACAGGAGTACACATCTTTATTCTAGTCACTCCTCTCTGTCTTACTCAGTTGTTGACCCCATGGAAAAAGCTATCAGCTCCCTCCAATTTCAGCCTTTGACACATCATTTTGAGTTATGTTGGCCAGAAATACTATGTCGAACACTAGACTCTGCACAGGAACCGAAAGGAACAAGAAAGGGAAAAACAAAGACCGGCGCTGTCACCTCGCATGTGCAGACAGACATGCTCTCTGCTGACTGTGGGAAAGCCCAGGCGGCTGCATCATGCAGGCTGCAAGGCAGGCGCAGCCTCTGAGCTGCAGGAGGGAACGGATAGATGGATGGTCTTGAGAGCGAGAAGCTCAGAGCACCACTAAACGCGGGCTTCCAGCTGGGAAACCACAATGGGCTAAAGTGATAAAGGATGGTGACGGTGTTCTTGGAAGAACCTGAAGGAGAATATTATAGTTAAAAAAGAAAGGTCTGGCCCTGGCCGGTTGCTCAGTGGTTAGAGCGTTGGCCCGCAGACCAAAGAGACCCGGGTTTGGTTCCCGCTAAGGGCACGTACTTCAGTTGCAGTTTGTTCCCGGCCCTGGTTGGGGTTGTGCGGGTGGCAGCCACTCGATGTGTCTCTCTCACATGGATGTTTCTCTCTCTCTCTTCCTAACTCTCTCCCTCCCACTCTTTCTCAAGATAAATGAAAAAATGTCTTTGGGTGAGGATAAAAAAAAATGTAGCCTCTCACATTGATGTTTCTATCTCTCTCCCTCTCCCTTCCTCTCTCTAAAAAAATCAATAAAAACATATTTAAAAAATGTCCCTAGTATTAGGGTCACGTGAAATACAAGTTAATTTTGTTGGTATTGGTTTAATATTTTCATCTTTTTAAAAATATGTATTGATTTTTTTTTAGAGAGAGAGACAAAGTCAGGGAGACAGAGGTAGAAACATCCATGAGAGGGAAACATCACTCAGCTGCCCAAGCACATCCCCTACCGGGAATGAAGCCTGCAACCTGGGCATGTGCCTTGACCAGGAATCAAACCGGTGACCTCTGGTCCATGGAGCAATGCTCAACCGACTGAGCCACACCAGCTGGGTGGTTTATTTACTTTTAATAAAGACATTTATTAGAGGTAGAAATAGAAAGAGAAGATGATGCAAATAATATAACATCTAATGCAAGAATCCAAGGAGTGTAGAGATTACATGCACATATGCCTACATACATGCATTCAGATACAGATAGAAAAGGCTGAGGATCTGACAGTATTTTCACTAAAAAATACTTTCATTCTGGTTGGTGAGCTACTGTCCTGAGCTCCTCCAGTGTCCTTTGTTGCCCTAGCCTCCCTTGTACTTCCCCCTCCACCTCCCCTCCTCATAACCCGGCAGCTAATGGGTTAATACCAGCAGCAAGAGTCTGGGACACCTAACTCCCAAATTAAGATCACTGCTTGGATTGGTCAATAGCTCACACCCTACTGGTCGTTTAATGTCTTAATACCACCCCTGTATATTGATGGATGTTGCATAGAATTACCTCCACAGTGTTAATTGTCTGATGAAGGATTATCTGCAACAAGATCACCCTGGGCACTTGTCAAAAATGCAGATGCCTGGGTCCCACACACTGACTCCATTGTGTCTCTGGGAGGGGGTTAGGATGTGCATTTTTAACTCTTCCCCAGGTGGTTCTAAAGCATCATATCAAATACAGCCTGCGTTTCCTGGCACAGAGCAAGTCTGTCTGTCCTGTATTTCATCTAGGTGCCAAGTTCTTTGAAGGGAAGGTCTTAAGTTCTAACACTTTTGGCTTTCACCACTGTGCCTACCTAGCTTAGTGCCATTGACAGACAATAACGAGGGAGGGCCATTGATTCAGAAGTGTGTGCTGAAAGAGTAAGTTAGGTTTGATGATGATGATGATGATGATGATGATGATGATGATGATGTACTTCTCATGTGCTGGGCACTATGGTAAGTGCCTTAGATGCATCATCTTATTGGTTCCTCTCAATAACCCTAATAGTACTGCTAGTCTCTCCATTTTATGGCAGGAAACCGAGACGTAAGATCTTATCATCGCGAGGAAGGACTCCAGTAGTAGCCTGTCTGATTTCAAAGCCGATACTCTTTCTTATTCACTAAGCCATACTGGCTCCTAGATTAGAAAACAATTCTACAGATAACTTATCAGTCAGATGATTTGGAGTTAGTCTCTTCGATTTGCTTTTGTTTCAGATGTATTTTGCTGTATTTTATTATACATGTGGAGGGGAAAGTAGGAATAGAAGATGAGGCGAAAGTAATAGCTATACTCTCTGACTTGCAGGAATCGAGATGAAGGAAACTGAATATCAAAAATAGAAGGTATATATAAATATTTCCCAATACTTAGGCACCACTGTAAATATTTTATATAACTAAAGTAGTCAAGTACTAACTGAAAAAACATTAGACTCTTGGCAGCTGTCACTGGGCCCTGAAAGTCAGGTTAAGAAGATGAAAAGATTGCCCTGGCCGGTTTGGCTCAGCGGTTGGAGCGTTGGCCTGCGGACCAGAGAGTCCCGGGTTCGGTTCCTGCTAGTGGCATGTACAAAAAAAAAAAAAAGAAAAGAAGATGAAAAGATTTTGCAGTTACACCTGGAAATCGAGTAATAAGAAAAGGGAATCGAGATTGAGAATCCATTGCCGAGAAATAATGAGGAAATGCCATTTTAGAAAGATCGTCAAGGGCCCATCTGATGCCTGGACTTGAAATGACATGACAAGCATCTGGACTTGGCAAAATCCAGGCAATTAGTGAGAGAAAGTGGATTGTAAGGGTGAGCTTTACATGCAATTGGGTTTGTTTCTAAGTATTTTGCTGGATGCTGACATTAATGAGATCACAGAGTATTATAATTTGATTCCGGTTAAAGCATCCTATACACTAAGCTTAATGAAGACTGACTAATTAACATCTTTTGAATGCGAGGAAAAAAAGAAATATACATCAGGATTGTCCTTTCAAGGCACAAACAAACACAAAATCAAGTCTGGGTAAATGGAATCAGAGTGCTTATTCAGACTTCACTATATCAATCCCAGCACTTTTCATTACATCCAGATAACTTTCCAATCATCCTTGACTCATTCATGTCATAGCAGGAAGAGAAGATTCATTCTTACTGGGATCTGGGCAAAATCCCCACTTCTCGTCTCTTTCGTACCGGCTGGTGGTGGCACACCACAGTAAGTTGTCTTTCCGCCCTTCCCGGGTGCATTCATGATGCCACTGCTGGTTATACTGGAAGGGAAACATGCACGGTGTCCCGTGGGCATTCCCTTTGAGTGTGTACACATCTAGGAGAAGAAAAGGACCAAGTCAAATAAGTGCTGTGCCAGCTCGATCTTTGGAAGCTGTCATATAGTAAAGGCATGTTTTTCACCTGGTATTGGTTTAATATTTTCATCTTTTTAAAAATATGAACACCTACAGTGGGCAAAGCTCTCGCTCTCCCACAGAGAACCCTCAGGACCTCACTGTCGGGTGACTGTGAACGTGCAAGGCTGAGGTCTGGGTTCAGAGGACATGCTCACAAAGGGTGCGTGTCCATGTGTATCTCGGTGTTTATTCACTCCGGTGCAGTGCTAAGGTGGCATGCACATCTGTGAAAGGAGGAGAAGGAAAGTGTAATGGAGATTTTACTTTAAACTATCACCCATGTCAGTGATCAGTGTCTAAACCTTCATTAATTTATTCACCCAACAGATATTTATTAAGCATTTAATGTGCTGAGCACTGGGGATATCGTAGCGAACAAACTGGCACAAGTTCCCTTCATAAGAAGCTTCTGTTCTAGTGGGGAGAGAGAAAAAGACAACAACACACAAGTAAACATATAATTACAGGTAGTGGTAAGTACATTATGATGAAAAACAAAATAGGGTAGGAAGACAGAGTGACTGTGTGTGCGTGTGTGTGTGTGTGAAGGGGCACTATTTTGGATCGTGGTTAGTGAAGGCCTCTCTGAATAAGAGTGGGTGAAGCCGGGAACGGTATTTGGAAGAGGGTTGTCTGGCAGAAGGAACAGCAAATACACAGAGCTCGCAACAGGACGCGTGCGGGGTGAATGCAGAGAGCGATGGGAGGTGGAGCCAGGGCAGGGCGGAGCATCAGCCCACCGCCTGCTCCGCCACATGACCAGCTTTGCCCTTTGCTCTGCTCGCGGTGGGAAGTCATTAGTGGGTTTTGAATGAGAAAGTCACGTGATTAGATTTCCATTTTTAAAGACTCACCGGGGTGCAGTGTGGCAAAGAGAACCCACAGAGGGAGGGGGCAAAGAGGGATGACTAGCTAGGAGGCCTCCATGGTCGTCCTGGAGAGACACGACAGTGCCAAGGTGGCCTGCTGGCTGCTTTCTCAGATCATTTCAATAACCCGTCATCCTTGGCCTTAAGCAGCAACAGCTTTTCATGACTCACCCGGGGCTTTGTGTGGGGTGGAGGATCAGGGCCCCCTCAAGTCAACAGTCCAGGAGAAAAAGGGCTGTCTGTGGAGATACCACCCCATCCCCACAGCTGGCAGGGGCTGGACTGGACTCACCACCCAGTGCCACCAGCCCTAGAGGTTAAGGCTGTTTAGGTTTCAGGACACACCCTCTGGCTTCAGTCCCTGCCTTCCACTCGCTCTTCCCCTGCATGCATTATGAGTGTGGGTGAATAGCTAAAATGTTAATGTAAAGCAAAATGTCACGTTCTTGCTCGGAATTGTAGAATATTCGAAGGGCTGGTTTGCAGCATTTGCTTCATTGTAGTTGAGTCCTGAAAATAGCTTGCTTTTAGCTTCACCTCTTCGCTTATTTTTTGTAGGTACAGGAGAAAGTCTCGCCTTGGCTCTTAGGAGTTCCTTGCTCTGCTTCCTGGGACTGGCGTAGTATTCTCAGAGCGCTATGTTCTTGTTTAGGCATGATTCCACTGAGCACCATGAGGGCAGGGGCCACCTCTGTCTTGGTGGCCTTTATAAAGCAAATGCCTGAGAAACAGTCAGCGCTCAATGAACGTGTGATAGAAGGTGAATGGATGGGGGAGAGAATGAAGAGCACTACCAGACAAACCCGGGAAATAGGTTTGGGGTGTCAGAATTTAACTACGCTGCTTTCTTTTCTTTTCTTCTGTTTAAAAGTGCTAAATATTACGGAACTGTGAAAAATAAAAGACCTCTTCAAAAAAGCCCCATTCTGGCCAGTTTGGCTCAGAGGATAGAGCATTGGCCCGCAGACCGAAGGGTCACATACCTGGCTTGCAGGTGGTCAAGGGCACATACCTGGCTTGCAGGTTTGATTCCCCAACCACAGCTGGGGCCCCGCTGGAGGCAACCAATTGATGTGTGTCTCTCGTATTGATGTTTCTCTCTCTCCCTCCATCCCTTCCACTCTATCTATAAATCCATGGAAAAATATCCTCGAGAGAGGATTAACAAAAAAAGCAATAAAAAAAACAACTCCCCAAACAAACAAAAAAACCCCATATTTTTCCATTCCCTGGCACACACCAAATAACTCCTGACAAGTCTGTCTTTAAATGCCCTGTACTGTGACATCACATGGATGCCAGTAAGGCACCGGAGGCATGGAGCTGCCTGCAGACACGCCATCCGAGGACTGAGTGTCTGAATGAGAGAAATGATGGCAGGACGGGTTCTTACATTCGTCCTGCTGAGTCTTTAACTTCAAAGGTCAGTCCCTTCCACCTTCATTTTTTCTTTTCCTCTTGTCCTCCTGCACTATCTCCTCTTACCATTGATTCCCAAAGGTGTTTTCTCCTCTGATCCCGTTAACTTCCGAGAAATTCTGCTCCTTTAAGTAAGTCCCTTCCAAGACGCCAGTCGTCCTTTTACATTAAGTGAGTAAGCAACTAAAAAGTATCGAGCAGCAGTCCCCTGAGGGTCCAGGTGGGGTGCTGTGTACCTCTTTCATAGAATATATTTGGCACATCTTAACTTATGGCAACATTTCTTACTATATCATTTCATGAGGACTTTACCTTTGTGCAGATATTCACAGATGCCTCCACCACCTGATGGGTAGGAATCCCACTTATGAAGGCATTTCCAGGAGGCCACCAGCGTGTTGTGCCTCACCTGCAGCATGTACTGCAGCGGGCCGGTGATCACCTTCCTGTTGCAGCGCCACCTCAGGGAAACGCGGGTGGAGTCACAGTCGTAGATGCCTAATGGCTGCTCTGGATCAGATACATCGAGGCCCAGGCACCCGCTGCTCCCTAGGTTAAAGAGGCGGTGGTTTGAGGTCCACTTCCACATCATGTACTTGTTCGGTGGTCTGCAGTTCTCCAGGGTCAGCACAGATTTGCCTGCTTGAATGCATTTCCTGAGGCTCTCACTTTGGATAACGAATATTCCTTTATCTGAAACAGCAAAACAGAAGATATGGTATTGGGCTTCCACGGGTAAGTCATCCACTGTCGTGAGGAGCCCAGCGTGCAGGCGTAAGTTGTAAAAAGTCACAGTTGGCAACCATTTTGAACAGATCCGGAGTGGATGGGCAGGGTCCACTAGGAAGGTTTATTTGCTTAAGACAGAGGAGTTTCTTGAGAATCATAAAGGGGCTTGTTGGAGCCAATGGGAGACATCTGACCTGAGACCTCCGTGGCCCTGCAGGAACGAAGCTACCTGCCAATCCACTCGCGGGTGTTGCTGATAGAGAAGGCGCTCTCCACCCCTGGACAGAGAGCAGGCACTGGGACTAACACTCCGGGCTAGAGGGGAGGAACTTGGGGTGTCCAGAGAGATGGTGTCACTCTGGTTTCTCCAGACAAGTGCCTGAATGTTGGGAACGTGGCAGCTGAATCAAGAGCCACAGAAACAGAAATTTCTACCACTAACTTTCTGCTGAAAACTCAAAGGGCAGACTTGAAGTGCTGCTTTGTGCCTTGATACAAGGTGCCATGCTGGTGAGAAAAAAGTCGCTTGTCCGTGTTTGCTTTCTGTGCTAGATCCTTCGGGAGCAGCACAGAGGGGCCTTTGCTAGGGGGATGGCCTCTCTGCAGGAGCAGCCTGCTTGGGTGGGACGGCAGGAGCAGGTAGATGCCAGGGCACTAGCTGAGGCCCTACACCTAGATACACGCGAGGTGCGAGGGTGCCCTCATGGCAGCCAAAAGCACACAGGCCACGCGGAGATGTGGAGAAAGAAGGATTTCGTGAGATAGCTTTGAGCTTCCAACTCCCTGCAGCAGAAGGAGGGATTTGGGCGAGTTCCCTGGGCAAAGCTGGCAGGACTCACCCAGGGCATACATGTTAGCTACCTGCCTGCTCCCTGATTCCATCTCAAGTTGCTGGCCCGGAAGACACCTATTATATAACAACTGTGAACTCGTCCACCTGAAGGTGGACACCATGTCTAACCCTTCAGTCTAAGCACGGACGGTTCCGAGCATGCTGAGCAAACACGCTGGCTGCTGGGCTTGGGCCCTGGTTGCTGAGGTTACTCAGCCCAGAATGTCTCCTTGGTTCTCCCATTAGCTAGGTTCTCCTCTTATACTTTACTTTCTGTCCAATCTTCAAATATCTGAGGGGACATTATCAGGTTCCCTTAAAAGAGCTGCAGTTTTGGGCAAGTCATGTCATGTTGCAGCGGATCACGGGGACAGACAGAGCCTTCCAGCCATTTGGAACAGTGCAGAATGAGCCTCCTCACCTATCAGAGCATAGGAATCATTGTGGGGGTTTTTGGTAAAAATTATTTTGCCTTTTCCAAAGTTACTGAGGCTGAGAGAAGCTGATTTACTATAACCAAAATCACTTAACACATGGCAAAAAAAAAAAAAAAGATGGTCAATATATAAATGAGAGTTATACTTCATTTAATAATCGATAACCTTACTTATAAACATATATTTGAAGAGTTGAATTAGTTGTCAGAAAACTGCTTTGATCACCAACATTAAGAAGAGAGTGTATAGCGCAGTGCAGGGGAGAGAATGAATGGTTTTGGGGAGATTTCATTTAGATCAGGAAATTTGTTTTCCTAATGAAGCCCATGTCTGTATGGTGATTAGTAGTAGTCATTCAAGATCAAATCTACCTCTTGCCATGTGATGTGGCTTCGATAATTAACCTTCTCTGCAACTCTCCTTTTCACCTTTTCATGCCTGGATAGAACGCTCACCTTAATTTCTGTTGTAATCTACTAATTACTTTCTATCTAGACCAGAGTTCCATTCATTTTTTACTAAGGAATAATTATTCAGCTATAATTAATCTGTAGTTTAGCTTCTAATATATATGTTCCAACATACCCAGCTCTGCGACTTGCTGGCTGGACGTCAGCCCTCTGGGCTTGTTTATGTACCTAAGATAGGCAGCCAGCCCACCTCACTAGCGGTTAAGAACTCTGCAATCAAGCACATCTGCCACACACTAGCCTTGTAATGTGGGGCAAATTTCTTGACCTCTGTGAACTGGAAATATATATGAGACCGAGCTCACAAGAATATCAAGAGTATTCCATTAAAAGCTACATGCAAAAGAATAAAAATAGACTCCTGTTTGTCCCCATATATGAACATTAACTCAAAATAGATCAAAGGCCTGAATAGAAGACCTGAGACAATAAATTACACAGAAGAAAATATAGATACTAAACTATGGACCTTGGTCCTAGAGATGATTTTATAAATTTAACCCCAAAGGCAAGGGAAGTAAAGGCAAAAATAAATGGATGGAATTATATCAAAATGAAAAACTTCTACATAGCAAAAGAAATATCCAACAGAACAAAAAAGCAACCAACTGAATGGGAAAACATATTTGCAAACAACAGCTCTGACAAGGCATTAATATCCAAAATATATAAAGAATTCATACAACTCAACACCAAACAGTTTCACTCAATTTAAGAATGGGCAGAGGGCCTGAACAGACACTTCTCCAAAGAAGACATACAAATGGCCCTGGCCAGTTTGGCTCAGGGGTTAGAGCATCAGCCTATGGACCAGAGAGACCCAGGTTCAGTTCTACTAAGGGCACGTCCCTCAGTTGCAGTTTGTCCCCAGGCCCTGGTTGGGGTCGTGTGGGTGGCAAGTAGTCAATGTGTCTCTCTCACATCGATGTGTCCCTCTCCCTCCCTTCCCCTCCCTCCCTCCCACTCTGTCTGAAGATAAATGCAAAAATGTCCTCGAGTGAGGAAAAAAAATTATTAAAAAAAAAAAGACATACAAATGGCCAATAGATATATGAAAGAATGCTCAACTTCATTAACTATTAGGGAAATACAAATCCAAGCTACAGTGAGATACACACGTGTTAGAATGGCTATTACCAACAAGACAAGTAATAAGTGTTTGAGAGGTTGTGGAGAATAAGGAAGCCTCATTCACTGCTGGTGGGAATAAAAGCCACTGTGGAAACCAGTATGGTATTTCCTCAAAAAATTAAGAACAGAGTTACAACCTTGGCCAGATGGCTCAGTTGGCTGGAGCATTGTCCCATACAACTAAAAGGTTTTGGGGTTGATGCCCAGTAGGGGCATGTACGGGACTGAACCAGTCAATGTTTCTCACATTACTGTTTCTCTCTCTCTCCCTTCTTCCATCCTTCCCTCTCTAAAAATCAATAAACATATCCTTAAATGAGGATTAAAAACAAAAAAGAACAGAGTTACCATATGACCCAGAAACCCCTCTCGGAACATCTATCTAAAAAATTTGCAAACACTTATTTGCAAAGATACATGCAGCCCTATGTTCATTGCAGCATTATTCATGGAGGCCAAACATGGAAATAATCACGGTGTCCTTCTATAGAGGATTGGATAAAGAAGATGTGGTACAAATATACAATGGAATGCTACTCAGCCATAAAAAAGATTAAATGCAGCCATTTGCAACAACATGGATGGATCTTGCAAATATCATGCTAAGTGAAGTAAGTTAGGCAGAAAAAGTCAAGAACCATATGCTTTCACTCTTATGTGGAATATAAAACTGAAAGCAACAAATGAACATAAAAGAAAAACAAACAAACAAAGAAACAAAAACTCATAGGAATACACAACAGTATAGTGGTTACCAGAGGGAAGGGGGCTTGGGGAGTAGTAACAGTAAAAGGGTCAAATATATTGTGATGGAAGATTTGACTTTGGATGGTGGGCACTCAATGCAATATGCATATAATGTATCATAGAATTACACACATGAAACCTATATCATTTTTATTAAACAATATCACCCCAGTGAATTTCATTAAAAAGAAAAGAAAAAGTATTTTATTAAGTAATCTATGCAAAGCACAGCACACACTACCTTGGCATGGGAAGACCTCAGTAAATGTGAGTTGTTGTCGTTATTATCCCTCTGGCTTCCTGATTCTTGCTCTGTAGAGCGCTAATCTGAGCATCCCCCCAAAGACTTCTCTTCTTCCATCATTAGAACAAAAGGTCATTTTTACTTTAGCTCTGCAGCATACCATGGGTGCAGACTTATTAATTTTAAACAATCCTTAAATGCCATGATATGACTTTCAAGGAAACAATATTCTTTGAACAACTAGATAATAAGATTCCTGTCTTGTTTATTTGTTCAAATATATGTGCAAAAATGAATTAAATCTCTGTCTGTTAATCTTTTGCATTATCTGTTTGCAAAGTCTATATTGCAGCTCTTTTGTGGGAAAGAGAAATATACGATGTCAACAAGCAGTGTATGGATGGATGGTCTGTGAGTAAGTGGACATGGAAATCACACATCCCTAAAATTTGGGGTGAATAATGTTTCTAGACATCCAAATTATGAAGTGGAAAGGAGTGGTAGAATCAGAACTTCTGTAGTCATTCCAGTGATCATAAAAATACCTTTCCAAAGCAGAAGATATTTGACAAATTTAATCCCATGCTGCTCAGTTTGGGGTTGCTATTACCTTCTCATGCCCAGCTGCCTTCAGAATGTAGCGTTGGAAAAGTTCTTCAGAATATATCAAAACAAGTAGCTCTGGCTTATCAGTAACAATAAACCTGCCATCTCCAAAGGAATACTATGTCATGCTAAGCTAAAAAATGACCCAAGCCTACTTTCCCATGAAGCTATAATAGAATCTGGTCCTAGCTGCATTACTCTTCATAAATTCACTGAAGAGAAAACAATTGTTTTCAAATGGACTTTGAGGAGACCCACCACAGGTATCAATATTCTGATTATTATTATTATTTGCATATATGGGTTGTCTGTAACAAAAACATAACGTGAAAATAAGCCACTATCCTTAGTGTCTATAGCCAGATTTCAAAAAAAAATGAAGAGCAAATGTGGGAGCAATCAAGATTGATTACCTATGTCAAAGACATCAGTTCTGCTTGAACACTGATTAAGTGATTAATGAAGTACTGCCAGAATTACTAAATCTCTTTGCAGTA